CACTCTTTCTCTTTCTCTGACCAAACTCAGATTTATCTCTGAATTCAACGATAACTATAACGCCCACCAAACTCAGAGTTATCGCAAAGCACAGCTGCGCGTTTGGTGGCACTGTTTCTTGTGCAGAACGATTTCGACAATGTTTTCCTACTAGGGATGAATTACCGGTTACGGAGTCTGCCATATATCGCTTTCTAAATTTGGACCATTCAACTGTTGAAGGGGTAAGAAAGGTGCGAGTCAGCTCAGATATAACTCAGAGTCAAGCCAGAGTAACTGTGAATTCCGACCAGATTACTACCGACCCTGACGTCTAGTGCACGCTTTTCTTCATTCGCATTCGGAAAAGGTGATAGATGTGAAAGTGAACGTGAAGATGTTCCTGACATCGTCGCAGTGTTACTTCTACTCGACATCGTAAATTGAGGGCGTATTCAAGATAATGCATTAGTGACCGGAAGGATAGTGTTGTGTCAAGAAGTTTGTCGTTTGTTGTAGTGCGAGAAAGGGATATCGTAGAATCAGTCATTGTATAGTAAATATTTCCAGCAACGGTCTAGCTTATCGCATTGCCAACGAGAAGAAGGTTGCTTATTGCCACGAGTGTCGAGTCGAAAGTTGTGGGTAAAGCACTTATACAGTTCAACAAAGTGTATACTATACTTTGGACCGAATCGAATGATTATTCGATTATTCGAATAAATCATTCGAATGCGAATGATTCGAAAATTCGAATATTCGAAAATCTGAGATTTCGAATAATATTCGATAGTCGAATATTCGAAAATTTTCATTTTCGAATATTATTCGAAAGTCGAATATTCGAAATTCTCAACTTTCGAATATTATTCGATAGTCGAATTTTCGATGGTCATTAATTCGATCATTCGCTGTCCATAGAATATTCGAATATTCGATGAGCACCGAATATTCGAAAATTCGATAAGAATTGACTATTGGAAAATTCGAAGCATCGAATATTCGGAAATTCGATATCCACAACATATACGGGGTGTCTCAAGGGTATGTACAAACTGTTCAATCGCTATACCCCTCACGAAGTCTTTTGCCCTTTAAGTAACATCCTGTAGGGATGGCTTTAGCTTACAAATATAGCAGAAAGCAAATCACCTATGTTTTTCTTGTTGTGTTATCACGGTATGAAATTAGCATATAGAGCAACTGCGAAATGAGACATCCAAAAGATTTCCTCAACAAAAAAGAGATTTCAATTCCATGTAGCAGGATTTTACGTATGTTTAACTATGCGCGGGCTATCAAGCCTTTTAAATGTGCATTCTCTTTTTTGAAAAGCGTTGGAAAACATCTGTTATGGTGTACCTGGCATAAGTTGCAAAAGGCGTTACGGTTGAGTGCAAATTCTTCATATAGTGAGTGTCTCTAGAAGGCGTTACGGTTGAGTGCCTAGTGTAAGATCGGCCTTTTTGTTTCTCATTCTTGGGCAAACGGCTCTTGATATCTCAAAACCCTCCTCAGTTTTCCTACAGTAGTTTACAACAGTGAAAAGCGATCGATACATCGCTTCATACTGTAAGTCTAGGTTGATGTCAGCCCACAGATTCACATATTGTTGGGACCCCTGTATGTCAGTCCACAACTCTCAATGAGGATAAATAATTTTCTTCGATTTTTGAAATTCCTTTACCCGTCACGTACGCTTTTAGGTTCTTAAAGGCAGCGTCCCAAATGATGGCTCCGGGAATTTGTGGCGATGTTAAATTGGACCCCCTACCTAAGCGGTGACGAAGTTCGGAGCGAAAAAGAGGGTCTGGTAAGCTTGAAAATTGCTCCCAAAGTGGCCTGTCGCACCCGAATGCCGCCCGTACAGCGGATTCGAACTGCAAGGCCAGAGAACGCATAGCGCACACAGCCATGAGTGCAGAGTCCCGCAACGACTCTTCGTCTCTACCCTGCACGCATCTCGTACTCACGAGCCTAGCGTAAGATCCGGGCCACTTACGGGGCAAATTTTAGGCCTGGTAGCCCCCTTTTTCGCTCCAAACATCAGTCATCGCTTAGGTAGGGGGACTACTTTAACATCGCCACAATCCGGCACCCATCTTCTTGCCGAGGCTGCAACTGAACCGTTTTTTCGTTGTAAATTGAAACATAAAAAAATGTCTATATGAAAAAATTTATTCTGAGATGTTTTGGTCTCTCACAGGTAGTCTCACTGACACAATTTAATCGCATAGTATTCGAAAATCGAATGATATTCGAAAATCGAGTATTATTCGAGAACCGAATAATATTCGAAATTCGAATATCGAATGGTATTCGATATTCGAATATTATTCGATTCGAAAACTTCCATTTTCGAATAATATTCGATAGTCGAATATTCGAGAACTTCGATTTTCGAATAAAATTCGATAGTCGAATATTCGAAGTTTTCAATTTTCGAATAATATTCGATAGTCGAATATTCGAGAATTTCGATTTTCGAATATTATTCGACATTCGAATATTCGAAAAAAATTTCGAATTTCCCAAAGTATAGTGTATACTATATGTGTATCGTGGAGTTGTCGACGGCAGGGCTAGATGTAGAGAATCTGCGCGACGCGCTGAGATATACGTCATGTACTGCAGAGTAGTAGTCGCATAAAAGGGCACTACAAAGACCTACAGTACTTGTACTATGCGCTTGGTCATATTATCATATCAAATAGACATTGATTTTTCGAATGATATTCGAAGGTCGAGTGGTATTCGATATTCGAATGATATTCGATATTCGAATGATATTCGATATTCGAATATTCGAAATTTCCGATTTTCGAATATCATTCGATAGTCGAATATTCAAAATTTTCGATTTTCGAATATTATTCGATAGTCGAATATTCGAAATTTTTGATTTTCGAATATATTCGATAATGGAATATTCGAAATTTTTGGTTTTCGAATATCATTCGGTAGTCGAATATTCGAAATTTTCAATTTTCGAATATATTCGATATTCGAATATTCGAAAAAAATTTCGAATTTCCCCAAGTATACTGTGGTAGGTACTACCTTACATTCCTGCCGTTGTTTCCGTCCAACTTCCCGGCATTCAGGAAATACAGGGTGTCCCAAAAAAATGTATCGAACGTTTGATCGTTAATATCTCTCTTCCCAAGAAGTCTTTTGCCTTGCTTCAAATACCGTTTTGTAGAGCTGGCTTCAGCTTGGATTTGCAGTAAAGAATGAATTACCCATCTCTCTTGATTACTGTAGAATTACGGTAGAAACTTGAAACATATGGTGTCAATGTGGAAAAGCCGCCGTTTCAAAATTCTTCAAAAAAATGTGAAAACTTGTGTAATCTTATATATAAAGCTGAATGTCTGTTTGTATGTATGTCTGTCTGTATGTCTGTCTGTCTGTCTGTCTGTACGTATGTTCCGAATAGAAAATTCCATTTCTGAACCGATCCGAACCAAACTTGGCACACATACACTACGGGCCCCGGCGGGTGTCATAGGCTACTTTTCGTCATCGATCGATATCGATTTTATCGATTTTTATCGATTTTTTTGCTGAGTTCACCTACGGGGCTGGGAGTTGGCACAGGGGGGTAATCGAGCATGGGGATTCCGAATACAATATTGGTTTTCGGGATTATCGTTTGATTTTATCGATTTTATCGATTTTTTTGCAAAGTTTGAGCTAGGAGGCTGGGAGTTGGCACAGGGGGGTAATCGAGCATGCTGATCACCCCCAAGGGGGGTGATCAGCATGCTCGATTACCCCCCTGTGCAAACTCCCAGCCCCGCAGGTCAAACTTTACAAAAAAAATCGATAAAATCAATAAAAGTAATGGACGATCCTGAAAACTAATATTGTATTCGGAATCCCCATGCTCACTTCCCCCCCCCCCTGTGCCAACTCCTAGCCCTGTAGGTGAACTCTGCAAAAAATCGATAAAAATCGGTAAAATCGATATCGATCGATAACGAAAAGTGGACTGTGACACCCGCCGGGGCCCGAAGTGTATGTGTGCCAAGTTTGGTCCGGATACGGCGGAGCCGGGTAAACCAGCTAGTAGGTTTTTATAGACGCTGAGTTTAATACTCAACTATTCATAAGATTACGAGGCTTTCTAAACGGTGTAACCGCACTTTTTAGGAACATTGAAAAAATGGCCGCTACCTCTTACCTGGCATAACTCTTCAATGAAGCAGCATAATAAATTGGGAATTTTACATTTATAATCAGCAACTTTAGTTAGCCTAGTGTGAAAATTTTCAGGCTGTTTTGTTTCCTTTCTGGGACAAAATATGGCTTTTCTTTGCTTAAAACTTTCTTTGAAGTTTCTACCGTAATCCTACAGTAATGAGGAGAGATGAGTGATTCTTTCTATAATGCAAATCTAAGTTGAAGTCCGCTCTACAGATTGGTACCTGATGCAAGGGAAAAGACTTCTTTAGAAGAGAGATATTAACGATCAAACGTTCGATACATTTTTTGGGCCACCCTGTAGTTTGGGAGCGCTAGCCCGTGGTATGTGCAGACATAAAAAATACATATCTACTTTTACAAAGCGAGGACCCAAAGTCGAAGTCGGCTTTCCACATGCAATAAACAGAGTTTTGGAATCAGCGTTTGTGCTCATCAGATTGGTATATATTTCATCTGGAAAGCCGGTTTTGACTTTGGGTCCTCCCCTGTTTTCAGGCTTGTGTTGATGTCTCTCGCATCTCATGTCAAGATCGTGTGAAATTTTACATCAGTGTAGGAAGTCGAATCGCGGGCAGGTCGGCACCACTGACTTCTACTTCATGACACTTCTAGAGACTACTATCAAATGAGAGTGGACCCGATTCGGCTAGACACTGCAGAATCGTCAAGTTTCCGTGCTCTGTCGACCACGCTGACGCTTTCCTCAACGTCTTCTTTGAGCGGCAGGCCGAAGGCGCTGCTGTGTCTGCGTCTGACCACCAGAGAGCCAGAGGTCATCGCTATTGGCAGTTGTCCGCTAATCGCCAGATCATTGCTGTTTCATTTTGTTCTTTTCATCAGTGAATTCAAAGTTTAGTAACTAGTTGTTTAGTTCAACGCATTGTCGCGTTGTTTTCGATCCACATAGTAAATTGATGTCAATTTCCATACAGGACGAACACGAGAAAATAGACTAGTTAGTGCGATCCCTGTTTATTGAAGAACGATGGCAGAATCAATATACACTGAAGGCTGGCTTATTAGATCGAGAGATCGTGGCATGCACTTTCCGCCGTTCAAGGTAAATTGAAGCCCTTATGCTTTTTTGGCATTCAGTATTTATTTGCAGTCCAAGTGGGTACGACGCTATTTCGTTCTGAGAGTTCTCGACAGAACTTTGGGAACATATGTTCTTGACGAATTCCGCAAAGAGGACAAGCGAAGATTGCGGAAATCATTAGATTTAACGCGTTGTGTGCAGGTGATCCTTGGCTTTAACTTTTCCATTCTCATTCCTGCATTACGCGTATGATGTGAATTTTCTGAAGTGCAGATGTGTTAAAAATACCAGGTCAAAGCACTTCGCTTACGTTCATGAATTCTGCTGCAGGACTAAATTTTATGTTGCACTTTCATTGACAAAAACAAAGAAAACATGCATTTGTGGCATTTTTGCAGCTAGCACTAGTTGTATGTTTGGCGGACGCTTTCACATACAAGCTCTTGGTCCGCTACTTCTCTTGCATCGAATTTAATACGCAAATAGGTGGAAACAAGCATTTTGAAGAAAATAATGTCTACATCAATTGTTCAGTTTCAACAAACATTTTCTTTCCAACCGGTGCTTAGAACTGCTGTTATAGATTGACTCCCACCTGCAGTTAGCAGACTCTTCCTGTTCAACGACATCCAGATTTGGAGGTTTTCAGTGGATATTCTCTCTTTATTTCACAAAAGGAACTTCCTCAAAGAAAACACCTATGTATTTTGTCTCCGAGTCGGAAGAGGTATGTTAGTATATAGTACTGCCTGTATGCTTCCCCGCCCCCAAATTCATGTATCCACGAGTACAAAAGAGCTCCAAACATTTACCGCATGAGATTTGCCGCGCTTGTCGTAAGTTGATCCGATTCGAGACATATAAAAGTTTGCCGGAAGTTTTTTTTGTTTTACACCACAAAATCTTCATGCTTTATCAGTATCAGTCTTGCGTATTCGATAGTGGGTTAAAACCTTTTTGTGCGATGGTTGTCCAGCTTGCCGCTATCCCCTCCATGCTACATTGCAGTCCTAAAAAGTGCTCGCTTGAATTCGTGCTCTCTCATCAAAACCTGTTTCGTGTTTGCACACCTGAGCTGTTTAGAGTTATGTCTGAGTTCACTGCAACAGCTCTTATTTGCCCGCAGTATGACACGCTTTCTGACTGTGCGGAATGTGCCATACATTTGTGTAAATCAAGATTCCTTTATCTTTTGTTACTTTATTCATTTGCATGTTCCAGTTTCTGATTGTAATGATACCAGTATATTCTTTCAGAAGATGAAGGACTGGGTATATAACCTCTGCCGTGCCTGTCGTCTGGAGAAAGAAAGCGACGACGATAGTTCTTACTTGCAGCAACCTTTGCCGAATTCTTACTTGCAGCAACCTCTGCCTAGCGCTGAAGGTAGTTTTTGTGAGCTTATCATCCGTCATCGTACTACTTCACAATGCAGTTCCTTCTCATCGATCGACCCTGCCTTCTTCGATAGCAGGATTATCTATTTATTCCGATAGATCGTCTGAAAGTATGCTAGATACTCCAAGAAGTGAAGTCAGCCGCGACTTCGAGGTATAGTTAACTTTTTATCTGTTCCTATCGTTTTTGAAATTATGCCTTTTTTTTTACTTTTCGTCTCCAAATGCTATTATTCGTTTGCTGCAATTTCCATCATATAAAATCACGATAATTATAGCTATGCCGAACAACTTTGATTATAAGGTTTGTTGCCGTAGGTTCCGCTGTAGTCTGCAAAGTTCTTCATTGTGATTATTTTGAAAATACAATTCAGCTGAATGTGTGCTTCCCAAATCCTGCATGCTGTTAGAATATTTTTTCCAGCAAAAAAGTATTTACTCTCTTTTACTAGGTGGTGTGCGGAACTGCAGCCATCTTAACCAACAGATTTATCCTTTTTGCAGCTTCGTTGTTCTAACAAGTGATGGATTCTAAGTAATTCCTATTGTTTACTGCATCAGGTGGCTACAGTACGATCGCCTCGTGGTGACGACGAGCTGCATGATTTCAAATTTGTTCCCAATCCCAAGCGCGTTTCGCGTTTTAACTCTCGCCTTTGTACTACATCAATACCCTCGGAGTCCAAGAAGGGATCTGTGTCCAACCCAGTCACTCCATCTGATGCTAGCACTCCTTCGCATATCCCGGCTGTATCAGCGAGTAGTTCTGTCTCTAACCCAGTTCTCGACTTGACAGCAAAAGGTGTGCATGGGTTGATCTCCAAACGGCAGTTGTTTTCCCAGAGTCTTGGTGATGTGAGTATCTGCTCGAGAATTAAACCATTGGAGGTGAAATTTCCTTCATAGATAATTGGGCGTCCACTCAAGTTGCATCTGAAGCGAGAAATGAATGCTACCGCGGAAGCTAATTTTCACGAGAAAGGAAAGGTTCAGAGTGTTGTGAGAGCGTGTTGTGTTCTCGTGTTATGGAAATGTGTGAAATGAAGTAGCTATTGTCTGCATGCTATAGCTCGGCAACATGCTGGGGAAGTAAGTCAGCAGTTCGTTTTTAGAGATTGAAGCGGCCAACCTCCCGCACCAGGAGCATGCGAAATCATCACAGCAGTTTGCGATATCCTCCCGCAACTAGGAAGAGTAGCTTGCAACGGAGACATCGTAGAACAGGTTTGTTTGCATGTGCTAAGTGGGTCTTGGGAGCAGTCGCTCTGTTTAGACGATACGTTCTATGTTGTTGTGGTACTTTCCTTTTTGTTATTCAAAAAATAAGCGCTTACAGATTCGATTGATGCTCCTCGTGCTTCTTCGTCAGCGTCGGCATGCTCTTCGGTAACATCGGATCATCATAGTGAAGAAGGCGATGATGATTCCACCAGTTGTATTTCTCAGCTTAGCAATCTGTCATGTGGTCCTCCCGTTCCTCCGAGGTTAGTGTATATGCCTATTTATAATTTGTCTTTTTGCTTTCTCCGTTTTACTTCATCGTGCTCGGCGTTCATATTCTAATATATTTAGAAGTCGTATTGGTCATCAGTACTCCTCTGCATCATCATCCACTGGGGTTCCTGTGAGAAGATATGTAAGTCGCTGAAGATGTATCTTATTGCAATTAGTCTTTCGACTGGAGCTATACAAGTGGCGCATTGCTGGCTATCGTCCTTACTAGATTCGCATAAAATTCTATCTGTCTAGCACCTATCAAAAATCGTTGCAGTTTTGAAGGAGTTGAATCAGTATTACGTAGTCTGTTTATACAGAGTGTTCTAAAAATGTGCCTACTGTTTGATTGTTAACAACTCTTTCGTAATGAAGTCGTTTGAGGACTATTAGATATCATTCCGTAGAGCTTGATATTACTGCAGGATTACGGTAGGAACTTTGAGCAGGGTTTTGAGACATGAAGGGCCATATTTTGTTGCAGAATGCAAACAAACAACCTGAAAACTCTCACAGTAGGCTAAATATTTGCTGATTTTAAATTTGAAGTGTGCAACTTATTATAATCTTTAAAGTTATGCGAGGTACCGTAACGGCCGTTTTCTAGTGTTATAAAGAAGCACGATCACACCGTTTAGAAACCTTCGCAATGTTGCCCATACTTGAGTACTGAATTCAGTGTCCATGAAAACCCTGATGCTCAAGTTTTCACATTTTTGAGAATTTTGAAAAGGCAGCTTTTTTCGCGATGAAACCATGTGCTTGAAGTTTCTACCGTAGTCCTACAGTAATGAAGAGCGGTCGCGCTTTGTTTTATACTGTAAATCTAAGCTGAAGTCAGCTCTACAATACGGTACCTAAGGCTTCTCGAAAGACTTCATTACTAGAGACTTATTAACAATCAAATAATAGGCACATTTTCTGGAGCATTACATATTATATGACGATGTTCGAATACTAGACGAAAGTCCAATGACGTTCAGCAGTGGACTCTTGATCTGTATTAATTACAGTAAAGAAACGCATGTTCCCCCAGTTCAGAAGATTGGAAAGGCCTGCATTTTGCTTCCTGACCAAGCGCAAACGCTCCTCTTTCTTTGCTTTGAGATTACTGTCGCATCATGTTTCGGTCCAAAAAGTAAAAATGCAAATGTCTACTTTGCTCGATTGCTCCTTGTCGCAATATTTTCAAAGCGCGCAAACAGCACTATTGGCATCTTGGTCTTATGTGATTTAGGAGGCAGAAGCTTTCGTCATAATCTTTACAGATGTACCTACTGTGAGATAAAGCTTTGTATATATGGTAAACAGCCGCTGTAGTTTGCGCATTGCAAAATGTCTTGAATCATTCAAAGCCCAGTTGCGATGTCGGCTTGCAAAAATCTGTTTCTGTCACGTATACATCGAAGAGATAGCCTGTGATTTGATAGATTGGTTTTTGCACCGAAAAATTGTCACGTTGTAAAAGTTCCCTTGCTTTGCTTCTGCCGCAAACTATGAAGGTTCAGATGAGAAATTAACCTATTAAAAACAGCAGTTTTTACTACCTGCGATCTGTTTCTTCGCCAAATGGTGTCTCATTTTCCTCTATGTAGTTATCTTGCTCTAGGATCCTCTATCTCATACGGTATCTCCGACTGCGCACAGCATAATCGACGAGGCTGTTGACAATGACAGCAGTGGCGAAACTATCAAAATGTGAGTTATTTGTTTTGAGTACACAACCTTCGTAAGTTTTGTAGTTTTTTGTTCAGGCACGGAATGGCATCCTATGCAAACACCTCCACGGAACTTGGATTCGATGCATTGTCGACGTTCCAGCCACCCGTTGTGGATCGATCCAACAAACCGGCGAAGTTGAGATTATACGACTACGAAGATGAAAAAGTTCCTGAAGAAATGACAATACACGGCTATAACAAGTGAGTTCTTGATGATGAACAACAAGTCGTTTAGATTGATCGAAGAGCTATGTTCGTTGAATCGATTAGCCAGACTTTTTTATTTGCGCAGAGCGTTATTATTTTCGGAGCTTTCCTACTAAATGAGCTTCTTCAGAACGCCATGAGTCCAGTTTTTTAAGGTCTGGTACGAACTTCACGAGATTGCCGCGAACGCAGCAAGTGAAGTATTCGTCTCGAAGGGATGTACGCGATCCTCCTAGGGTGAGTATACTTCTGTTTTGGCGAAGTCCTGCTGTACAGTTTTCCAAGTGTGATACTCATTCCTCCCTTCAATGTCCATATATACTTGTTCAATCTGAACCATTTTACCGGGAAGTTCGCAATCTATTTCTGAATTGTGGACTCTAGGCGCTCTTTGAGCTTCTTCTTAGCCCCTATCTCACAGTTTCGCTATGTTTATGTAAGTCAGCTGTGTGCCGCATCCTCATCAAAAAATATGCTTCTGCTTCGAGTATTTTTGGTTGTAAAGTAGGTTAAATAGATTTAGTGTTATTTTCGAATGCTTTCATCCTCACAAAGCCAGCAAAAGACGTAGTTCACATAAATCGCAGATTTTTGAAGCAATTGTGGTAACCAGTGCACTAGAGCATACTACCTGGTACGAGCTGGATAAAATTTGTGGTGTCGGTTATTTTTGGCAAGGTTTATCAACTTTAGTCTGCTGGTCCGCTTGGAAGAACTCGCGAACTTGATTATTTCAATCCTGTATCGCTGGATAGAGCGAATTCTGTACGCAGTCCCGCTTCGACGGATATCGAGTACATCAAAATTGATGCAGAGAAAACTCAGGTGTGTGACTTTCGTTGAGCGTCCGTAATGTCCAGATATATGCTACCCATGCAGGCCGTGAAGCAGTCGATTGCTCAGCGAACGACCGTTGACTGACCAGTGGAGGAGACAAATGACATTGCAGTACTCATGTAAGGTTCAAGAAGTAGAAAATCTTGCGCCCATCAAGCATTTTGTGCAAACAGGTGTTTTATGCTTACAATGTTGAACAAACATTCTTAATCTATAATTTTCTAACATTGTTTTTCTGAATACCTTCAGAAGTATTCAGGTTTTTTTTGGGTGAGAAACACTACGCAACAGAAACGCTAATAGCAAATGAGTAAAACCGCTATTTATCAAATAACCATTTCGCCAATGGCGTGGATGAGCGACTTGAAGTAAGGCGTGTGCCTCAGCTTTCAAATCATGCACGTTGCCGCAGATTTGCAACCTTTTTGTCCCTTGTTGGCCCCTTTATTGTAGATCGATATCATCCTCGAGTTTGCGTAGTTTAGTATTACTGTCACGGATTGTTACGCAACATCTACCAAAGTTCCTTTTAGGTAGAGGCAATCAAATCGCCTCCTGTCCACTTTAGATTCACGTTCGCAAACGCTTGCTAATACGTCGAGTACAGACTTCATTTCAAGAACGGGTTTCTTTCCATGATATTTTATAGTGCAGCAAACATGGAAAGCTGTTCATTCCTACTTAAGATTTATCTATTTTTTACTTTTATTTTTTGCTCAGGCAGTCCAAGCCATTAAGTCGCTGCAGATGTGTATTTTCTCGAACACTTGGTGTTACATCCAACATCTATAATAGATTGCCGCACGGTTTGTTTGGTTCATATCATGGCATGAATGTAACATACAGAGTTTAATTGCTTATATGATTGTAACAAATCTATTAAATTCGTCATTTTCTATCGTCAGCACGTGCATTGTGCTGCTTGTGCCAGGCTATCGACTGATCTGATACGAACAGTCATCCATTCCTACTTATTCGTAGCTTTTTTCTTGCTGCTGCCTTTCAAAATCGATGTGATTTTGTAATCTGCATTGCTAGGAAAGCATGTTCTTGCAGAAATTGTCATTTGTATTTTTGTTCTTTTCTAGTTTAAAGAGATTTTTATATATTACTACATACATGCTCATTATTAGGTCTTTATCATATCTCATACATCGAGCTTCTCTTTGTTCTGCATTAACTTGGGATTGTCTCTCTTTTCCATCCTTTCAAAACATATCGTTCAAGTGACTTGTGCATGTAAAATTCGTGATAATTGCCCCCACTGTGATCGGTTAATTTTAATGAAGCTTTTATGTATATCTCGCTATAGTCATCGCACGCATAGAATTTCGCTGCGATCAATATACACTTTGTCCCATTCGAGATCAGGCCGAACCGTTGGCGTAAAGTTGCGCGCCCGCAGCGCCAGGGGTTTGCGTTGGGGTGTGGTGCGGAAGGCGACAATCCCCAATTTTGTGCCTATCAAAAACTCTCCGGTGTCAAAGTGACACCCCGGGGGACTACGGGGGTGGGGGGTGGGGGCAGATACATTACTCAATGCCACAAGTAGAAATTCGTGAAAGTCATTGAGACAGATAATACACAGCCTCCATTTTCCGCCGATTGTCGCCTTCCGCGTGCCCCCCGTTTGCGTTGCATATGCGCAGATGGCAGACGCAGACAGCAAGCGAGATGCAAAGCTTCAGCGAAGCGGACTTTCGCCATGCCAGTTTTGGTCCGATCAGGATCAAGTTAGTACGTCAGACAGTTATGAGAATGAGAGTGCAGCTCTGAGAGATGCGGAAGGCGTCCACAGTTGCGCCCTGGCTCTGCGTGCGACCAGTCGCCTGTAGTACTAGGTCCTTGTACACTGTACTGCCATTGAGGAACATTTGACACATCTGTAGGACCGGTTAAGTGCAAAGATATACAATGATACCGATCCTGAATTGCATCGCACACAAGGGAAAGTTTTGGATGTTCGCTTGGCCATGAAGGACCACCACCAACATGTGATCGTAGAGAGCAAGCAGCTGCTTTGCATTAGATTGTTCGGAAATCAGTGCAGGTTTTGCTAAATGTCAACTTGAACATTGTCATATGCGATGAAAAATTATATCCTAAGATGGGATAAAGATTATCGTATTTAATTGTATCTATCTGGAGCATATATATAGTACTGAATACCAGAAGTCCCAGCAACGAGTTACTGAAGTTTAGAAAACAATAAAAAAATTCCGAACAGTGTTCACTTCGGCGAGTTGTAATTCATTCCAGAAATGAGCAGCGGGAAATCCCGACTGTAACCGTATAACATAAGCCGTATTATACGGTAAGAAGTGCCTATTTTCATTCAGCGCAAAAAAGCAGAACCAAAACCGTCTATTTTTCGGCATTTTCATTGGACTGAGAACCAAAGTCGTCTAAAATTTTGAGTTTTCCATTTATGTAAATAAAGGAGGTTCCAAGCTGAAAGTTTACTGACGGATTGGTCTTTCCTAACACAAAACGAAATGAATCCTGTGATTGTCTTACTCAGAAAACTTTGAATTTTATTACCTTCTTATGTATAAAGCTGAATGTATGTCTGTATGTACCCAGATATGTAGATATAGGCGATTCGCATGCGTATAGCGGGCGTGGCCCTGCAGACATTTGATCACGTCAAAAAAAGCTTGTTGAACCTCCACTGTATACGTTGGCAAACGTCGGCAAAGCCCCGCCCGCTATGCTTTGAGGAATGGACGATAGTATGTTCGTGTGTTCCGAATAGAATTTATTTCTGAACCGATCTGGACCGAACCTGGCACACATGTCGTCTGGCCCTAGAGACCATCAATGTGACTGCCTTTTGATCGTTTCAAAGGCAGTGGTCTGGCAAATCCTCGACCTGAAGTTTTTTCGCTTACCTGGGGTAATTCGACGCGCTGATTCCGAAAATACACCTCGAAGAGCACGAAAGTGTTGAAAACCAGCATTTTTCAAGGTAAAGATGGCTTGCGCGCACGGGTTTAGAGGCAGTTTTCTAGGCAGGGACAGCATGTAGTGCGCTCGGTCCTGCTCCCTTGTGATGTTTGGGATGCAAGCAACCTTCTAAATCAAAATTTTGAGATGTTTGGTTTTGCCGACCCACTGCCTTTACATGTCAGCTTCGACTGAATGACTTAAATTTGTTGAAGTTAAGGGAAGTGTCCGGCTAAAAAGTCGATACTGAGATTTTGTCTCACCCGGGCCTATTCGTAGTGCTGAATCCGGAAATCCACAAGAAAGTGCGAAAACGGCTCTAACGCGGAAGGGAAATCAGAAGGTGGGCGGGGTCTTCCTTCTCCCCCGCTAGGTACTAATCGAAGCATAGGTTTCGTAGGTTTCGTTCTTTGTTGGGACCAATGCTATCAAAACTGCTTGCAGACTAAACTACGTGCAATGGATGCATACAGTTGCACGAACTGCACCGTCTGTGTCAACGGCTAACTCCCTTTTCTGTAGGCGCAACCGCCAGGCAAAAGCCTCGCGCCACTTCCACATGTGTATAGCACGTGAACGTGCGAATCAGCTTCACATCGATCGCAAACGCCACGCAATGGCCAAGCGCTGCGTATACGTGCTCCTTAGGCCTAAGAGAGGTGCCAGAGTAAGCGAGATTCCTCAATTTGTAACAAACACAGCAAGTTTGGCCCAAGCAAAGTGCGTTCACGACCAGCTATGGAGAGTCGTTGCAGTGCCAAATTGTGCGGCGACTAAAATCGCGTGAGGTATGCCTTACAGGAAATTGAGTACTCGATTGACACAAATTGTATACCTACGATACCTACTCAACACATTTCGGACCGGTGCTGCACATGGTGCAGCACGCGCCTTTGAGAGATCCTTCTAACGTTTACAGAAGGTTTTCTTTTTGTCCAAGGTTATCAAGTCAAAGCCTAAGCTCCTTCTTCTCAAATGATTTTGTAAAGATGTTCCGCCGATATTTGTTTAGAAGATATGAGCACAAATCGAACAACAGTTGCAACGAAGTGCGGCAACGCGAACGACGCGTGCGACGTCGCAGCTTTCCTTTGCTTCGAATTCAAGGAGAAAAACCGTAGTTTCGATAGTGATGTGTATGATGTATAACATAGATACTTTTGGGTACAATTAGAAACTGAGTTCTTGTTCCTATCTTCCAAAAAAGCATAGTAGTCCTTCTCAAGCGACAAAATTTAAACACTTCGAATTCGCTCACAACTTTGAGTATGGATCTTATCTGACATGCCGATTATAGATGTATGTACACGAAGTCTACGAATTAAGGCCCCTTTGCTGGCTAACGGCTAAAAGTGCCCTCTTTTTCGCCGCGCGCGATTTCGCAGTCCGAAACATGTTAACTATACCTACGATATGGTGCAAAGCTGTTTATTATTTAGGAGAGTTGTTGCGTTACCAGGCTATACAGCTCCGATCTGAATCAGTACAGAATGTACTCAATATGTTATTTGCAGCAACTTTTCAAGTACATTACCTTCATTACCTTTAAGGAGTTTGGCAACATATATAGCTGCTTCTATTTCGATCTCTGTAGGTAATCACTCATTAGACTTTGAGCGTGATCCTTCTGATAAGAAAATATTGTTGGGCGGCGTGACGATAAGCATAGCAGGTTTTGGTTCGTCCATGGTGCGATTCCAGTATAGGCAGGCGGTCCTACTCCAGAGTTTTTGACTCAGTCAAATATCCGATGCTCAGTTGATTGTTTTTAAGGCAAGGGTGGAGGGTTCTCGTTCTTGAAAAAACAGGTAGTACAGGTATTCGCGGCTTGCGCATTTGCATACAGTCGCTTCTTGGGGATTATGTGAGTTTACAAATCGCGCGTGACATTTCACGACTCCTACGATTGATTCCTTCAACGGATTGATTGCAAGAAATTACCCACTCCGGGGTGGAGGACATTAGGTCGCCGAACTTGGAAGAGTCCCGCGCGGATTCCCTGCAGGAACGCATGTCCGCACATATACAAGGGTACATATTTGTCGCAAATGACCGCGGAGACCGCCCTTTTTCGGCGACCTAATGTCCCCCACCCCCCACTCCGTTCTGAAACAGAAAATCCCTGTAGGACTAAAGAGACTGCCAACATGAAGAGCACAAGCCGTGAGATGCTGCGTCTTGTGTGTAGTAACTATCAAGTTGCAAGTTGCGCGACTTTTAGAAGGAGACTGCACTGGGTTCCTAGTTTCTTTTTTTTTTTAGGTTGCTGATTGCTGATCTGAGGTTTGAGGTGGTTTAATAGGACTGGAGAGTGTATTGATGAGGAGTGCTTACAGAAGAGTAGTCTAATATCTTGGAAGGTCTTGCTTTGCTCAACGATCTGAAAGTGCACCAGGGCATAATTTTAGTGCAATAAAGAGAATTTGAATGTTCTCCCGTCATTATATTTTTTCATTGTTTCCCTAATGGTTATATCGTTGGAATTTAGGCATGCTGCTTTGGATCTTGTTAGATTTATTCACTTTTCAAAATGTATGCATACTTGGACTTACTGTCACAACAATGGCTTGCGGGGCGCTATTTTTGTAAGTGCTTAGTTTGCGTCTTTCTTCATGACTTAATCGAGCATCCAAGACTGTCGTCGATTGTGCCATGGCCCAAACGAAAACGAGGCGACTTTATTGCTCCAACAAAGACTTACGCTGGTAAAGATGAGGGAGTAAGGTCTGTTATTGGCAGATTTTCTTCTTCGTTGAAGTTTCACTAAATTAATTTCTAGTTTAAACAATTTACTGCGTGAAGATCCGAAGGAAAGGCCTCTCTATACTGAATCTTCTTTGTATCTCAGCGTTGTAATTCCATCAATGAATGAAGAGGTTAGCATTTTACAATCATTGCAGTATTTCAAATGCGGATTTAGGAACGTCTGCCAAAGATGTTGGATGAGTGCTTGGATTATTTGCTAAAAAGAAAGAAAGATGAGGAAGAATTCAGCTTTGAAGTATGCAGTTATGATTTTCTGAACACTTTCATCATTTTTTTCTCCTTTTTCTCCAGGTTTTGTCATTTCTCTTGGTGGCATAGAGACTTTGTTAATATAAGCAAGATACGCGTGCATAGGCGATCATACGTAAAAACAAGGCGCCATTGGGGACGTGGTCGGCGTCTCTCTCATAGGCAGTAGTTCGGCAAAATGGATCTTGTCAGATTTTGGTAGTGTTAGATAATACCCCCCCCCCATGTACACCGTAGCGCCAATCCCACATTCCAATTCAGGCGCTAATGAAAAGCGCTTGAAAACTCCATCACTGCTTTGGCGGGGCTGGTGGAGTTTTGAAGCTTCTTTACAAGGTTTAGCGCATGAATTTAAGGGTAGGGTTGCGGCTACGGTGTACTTGGGAGACCTACTACCTGATACGAAAACCTGACCAGGATTTATTTTGCCACTGCCTTAGCCGCACTTTAATCCTTTTTACCGCCTGTTCCCTGCCATACAAAAATTGTCTTTACCGGACGCAGTGTAAGTCTTTATACGCGATGACTCATTCATAGTCCCCTCACTGCGGAAGACGAATGAGAGGTCTAGTTTGAGACACTTCTAGAGTTGGCGTTGCAATTACTAGTAGGTTCAGTACTCCTAGATTTGACGTAGAGCGTCATCTCGTGTTAAAGGCAGTGTCCGGGCAAAAACTCGATTTTGTTTTGTGCTTACTTGGGCCTATTCGCTACGCTGAACCCGAAAATGCACATTGTAGAGCTGGAAAATGGCTAAAAACGACTCTAACACAGGAGGGAAATGAGCAGGTGGGCGGGGTCCTCCCCACTGCGAATTCACGTTCCCGGCTTCTGGTGCGACCTTCTCGCTTTCGGTTTCAAGTCAATCATTCGCACTTGACCGGTAGCGATGTCAGGACGGCTAGCGGATTCGAGAAAATCGCTCCGGGAGCTGGGAGCGTAAAATCGCACTGGGGAAAGCCTCGGCCACCTGCCGATTTCCCTCCTGTGTTAGGGTCCTTTTTCGCCGTTTTCGCGCTTTCCATGTGGATTTTCGGATTCAGCATGGCGAATAGGCCCGTATAAGCACAAAATCTCAAAATCGAGGTTTTACCCGGACACAGCCAGCCCCCAGCCCGGACCCGTCATACTTCGCCGAAAAAAGCCCCAAAGCGCCCTAAAAGCCCAAAAAGCCCAAAAAAAGCCCGAAAGCGCCAGAAAGAGCCGGAACGCAAAAACGAACTTTTGGTAGAATTCTGACATTATTTTGTTGTGCAGACGACATAAAATGAACCAAAAAGACGTTTGCGAAATCAGCACACATGCCTTAGCGCCAAAACGTGCGAGAAGTGTTCCAGCTCTTCCTGGCACTTTTGGGCTTTTTGAGGCTTTTTGGGCTTTTTTCGGCGAGTATGACAGGCCCCTTAGCGTTTGTTTGGAGTTTTGGACTGGATTGGATACCTGAAATTTTGATCACTGGACCGTGGTCATTCTACACCACTTTCATTTTATTTGTACGAGTCACATAAGTACACTTTATTTTTTCGGTCGCAAATGAGTCCTTTAGGTTTTAGTTGTTGACGATGGCAGCACAGACCGCACCGCAGATGTAGGGCTCGACTATGGACGTCGATACAGCGACCTCGTGAAGGTCATAAAATTAGAGAGGAATCTTGGAAAGGGTGAATGACTTCTTGTTTTCTTTGACGCTTATGGTTTTTTCAACTTCGATATGTAGGTGGAGCTGTACGAAGTGGCGTCATGCATAGTAGTGGAAAACTTATCTTGTTTGCTGATGCCGACGGAGCAACGAAATTCTCTGACATAGAACGACTGGAGAAAGGATTGCTGCGAATGAGCTGTGGCCCTCCCTTAGATGAAAGCTTTCCCGCTGTTGTTGTCGGATCAAGGTGAGAGTTGAATCGTTTTTTTTTCTTCAAGCTTGTTTATTTCAATACATACGCGATTCGCTTTTTACAGAGCACACCTTGAGGCAGAAGCTGTCGCCACACGCTCCTTTGCACGGACTATCCTTATGCATGGATTTCATCTTCTCGTTTGGTTGTTTTCCTCGCGAACCGTGCGCGATACGCAGTGTGGATTCAAACTGTTCACGAGGGCTTCAGCTGCTAGGGTGTGTAACTTCTTTGCACATTTGCACACCCGTTAGTCAAACTGATTAGCGTCGCCTAAGTCTGGATTTACAGGTGTTCCCGGTATTACACGTAGAGCGCTGGGCCTTTGACGTAGAGTTGATTTACTTGTGTGAGTTATGGAGAATACCCGTTCTGGAGGTGAGCTTATTTTATGCTGTTGCTCTTGTTGATGATTTTTTTAAGATCTCTGTTACGTGGCACGAAGTAGAGGGCTCGAAAATAGTTCCAGTCTGGTCTTGGCTCCAGATGGGAAGAGATTTGATTCTTATTTGGTTCCGGTATAAGACGGGAATGTGGACTGACAAAGTCCAAGAGTAGTAGACTAGTCTATTTATTGCACAGCTGTGATATGGCTAGTACTGGTTTTGCATATCTTTGCTTGCTCTCTTCTTTGTTTTCTCAGTTTTACTGTGGCTCTGTGACCTTAACTTATGACCGGGAGATATTCAAAAGCTTTTGTTCATTGTTGTTATGACCACATCTTTGCTTCCAGATTGATATAGGTTTTGTTAACGTTCCAAATTTTGGTTGCATTTTAACATTTCCATTTGATGCGTTGTTTTTATCCGATGCTGACTTGTTGGCTTTACGTTCTGATCATTTTTTCAGGTTTATATGTATTGTAACGGTACCTGTCATTATCAGTTAAAGCACTAGTCTTTGCATAACTCGTTTTTTTCTTGTGTCATGAACACTTTTTATTTGCTAACATACACTACTCTTCATATCACCAAGCTGGGGAGCATCGCTTCAGATGGGAGGTGGTCGCGCTACCAAGAAAACAGAGGCGATGGATACTGGCAGCTGCCCTGTGGATGAAATCAGAATGGAAGAAGAAAGAGTTTTGAATGTGGGTCGTTTTATCGAAGTTGTTTGATTCCTGAAAATCCATGCATTTTTTCAGACATACGATGAAAACTCTGATTATGCTATGACAGACACTGGACCTTTTGATGTAACCAAGTACTGCAAGTGCATCGAGGTGCTGTTCCTTCTTTCATCCATAACCACACGCAGCTTTCTTCTGTTTCTTAGGTCGATGTTGTGAATGAAGATGATGATGGCATGTATCTAGACTTTGATCTCATTCATGTCGAAGCACCCATTGCCAACGCTTTGAGAAGAGTGCTGCTAGCAGAGGTGAAAGAGGTCTTAACTACGATTGAGATTCAGCATACTTCGTTTCAGGTTCCTACAATGGCTTTCGAGAAAATTTACCTCTATCAAAACACCAGTGTCATTCAGGTATATTTTCATGTATTTTATTATATTGCTGAGATTTCTTCTTTAGGACGAAGTTCTTTGTCATCGACTGGGCCTTCTCCCAATAAAGGTAGATCCAAGAAAATTTCTGATGCCGACTGAGAAGGTGATTTGGCTCTGAAAATTCCCTTCTTGCTATGCTGTGTAAACGATATTGTAGGTAATAGGCATAAACGAGCATGGAGTTGATTGTGACGAAGAGCCTCAGCCTGATCCCACCCGGAATCTTGTTTTCAACATCAATGTATGTATCAGTGCACATGGTAATTGCTCGTTTTCCCTCAATGAGTTATAAAAAATGCGAACTTGAATTTGCCATCAAAGAACAAACCTTTTCAATTAAAATCGGTTGGCAAGACTTGGGGCTGTACGGATATCCTCGGAAAGGATTTGAACGGCTCCAATTCGAAGTACAGCATTTCCCGCATTACTTGTACAATTGTGTAATTTTTTTCGCAGGTGACATGTACTCGGAATCGCAATGCTCCCTCCACAGCAACAGAACCGCAACAATTGTATCATCAGTCTTCGATATACTCACGATCATTCAAATGGATTCCGTGTGGTGATCAAGTATGTTGGCTGATCGGATCGCTGGGAATGGTTTTCAACCTCAAGATTCATCTAGGAGGAACAGTTCAAGGGCGATCCTCCAAAGATAGTCTTTGATGATATTCTGGTTGCAAAACTCAGACCTGGTCAACAGATCGAAGCAAACTGTCATGCTGTGAAAGGAATAGGACGGGACCACGCTAAATTCAGTCCTGTAGCCACGGCATCATATAGGTTGGTTTAATCCTTCTTGCACATTCATTTTTTCTTTCTACGAACTGTATGGTTCAACATTGAGGTTACGTTCAGATTTTGCAATTTGTCTTCACCTTATGTGCTTTTTACATCAGAAAATAGATTTTTCCAGGTTGCTGCCCACGATTCGCCTTCTGGGTGAGATCCGTGGAGAGGCCGCAGAGCGACTAAAAGAATCCTTCAGTGAAGGTGTGATTGAGCTAGTAGAACGAGATGGTTAGTGTTTTGTGATCTTGTTTTTTTTTCTTTCTTCTTATTGTCAGTTGCATTTCCTTCTGTAAGAGAATGATGTTTAGGAGAAAAAATCGCAGTAGTTGCGGACGCCAGGAGGGATACTTGCAGTCGAAACGTATTTAGACATGACGACTTGGCTCCACTTGTGCAACTTGGAAGGAAGAAAAATCACTTTATCTGTAATGTTATGCTATCATTTTTATCGCAGAGTAAGGATCCAAACAATGTGTTCAGTTAGCGTCGAATCCACAGGTGCGCTGAGATCTGCGGAACTAGTGATAGAAGCTTGCAAGGTAATTTTGAGGTAGAACAAGGCGCCTGTCCTTTTCTCACTTTACGAGTCTTGTTGCTTTGTAAGCTTCACTCATGCTTCAGGTGATGGAGGAGAAGTGTAGCTCGCTTCGTAAAGGAATAGCGGAATTATTCAGTCACAGTCATGCTTAGCGTTGCTTTTCATAGTCAACTTGTTATTGTTATACTGTTGATTCTCTCTGTTGATTTTTCTGTTGTCAAATCACTTACGATTTGATTTATCTCTTTATTTGGTCATGGTAACCCTGATGCTTAGATAAATGTCCCTATCGTCTGATTAATGTACACATTTTCGTGTAGCCCACAGTAGTACTGCTTGCACTAAACTTCTCTGCGTATTTACTACCAAATCTGTTGATGAAGTTAAGGTGCCTAGTCTGAAGTTATTCTCGAAAGCCCACCAAAATGGGCTTTCCTTTGATACAAGTTTTTATGATCGCTGCAAGGCAGGTGGGTTTCTCTTAGTACTTGCTGACTGTTTCGTAAGAATTTGCATTGTAGATCTCAAGACCTGTAGCTGATGCAGTTCTTCGTTATGGCAAAATTCATCCAGTTTTTAGAAATAAAATTTTGGTACCGATAGGAAAAGGTAGGCTCTTTCTGCTTTGTTTGATGCAGTGAAAATCAAAAGTTTTGAAATGCAATAGGTCTGGTAAGGATGACAACTAGGTTACGGATGAGACGGCTTGGACTAGGCGAACCAACAACAACTATTCAGGTTTCGGAAGCAGCAGCCCTAGAACAAGTGAGTTTTTTCATTGCTATATGCTTTTCTATTGATTCGCATTGAGATATGCCGAAAATTCATAGCGTTGATTTTATGACTCTGTTTTATTGTTATTCTTTTATTTGAGGCCTCTGATTTCGTCCAGCAGCTTGTGCTTTTCTTATACTCCGTCGGAGTGTTCTCTGGCTATTATTTTTACACAAAAATCACAACGCCAGAAACTCTCAAGGCCTACGAATTTGAAGAATTCCGAGAAGAAACCGATAAGGTGAATATCATACTTCCTTCGAAGAAATTATGGCTTTTGTTTAGGTTATGGCCGAGCTTAGGTTAAGATTAGATCTGCTAGAAAATGCAGTAAAGAAAGCTGGAGTAAAGGTATAGTAACTGAAATTTTTTGTGTGGAAAATAATGAAAACTTCAGGTTCCACTACCTCCACCTCCACCTCCACGAGTCGAAAGTGCCACAAGTCCTACTACTAACTCTCAAGAAGAAAATTCTTCAAAAGCGAAATCACGTTTCCCTTGGGTTTCTTCGTTGCCTGTTGACACTGCATCAAATGTAGTTTTGAAAGGTGAGTGCGGTTAGCATTTTTATATATATATATATATATATCTAATACTAGTATCTGTCTGTTCATTGAACATCTCAGCCTTCGTTTTGAATTAGAGAATGTCTTCATGCTAGTGCCTGTGATCAAATGGTAAATGTGATTTCGCATCAGCATGCGACGCCGGAAAGATGCGTAATTTGCGTAATGCTTATATAATCATGTATAATCATATTTCTATCTATCTAACACAGGGTGTTCCAAAAATGTGAACACTGTTTGATTGTTAATAACCCCTTGCTTACATGTCTTTCGCCGAGCTTGAAGCACCATTCTATAGAGCTAGGTCTAACTTAGATCTACAGTGAGGAGCGAATCGTCTATCTCTCTTCATTACCGGAGGATTACGGTAGGAACTTTGACGAGAATTATAGGCCATTGAAGGCCAATTCTACTCGGAACAAAACCAAACAAGCCAAAAACTTTCATACTATGGTAATGGAAGACGCTGAATTTGAATTATAAATTTCCACTTTACTGTGATGCTTTTTTCCAAGGTTATTCCAGGAAAACCGTAATAACTGAATTTCCTGCATTTGTAAGAAATGTGACTACACCATTAAAAAAGCTAAAAAACACCCGTAAAAAGTTGTGTAGTGGAATCAGCGTGCGCGAAGACCCTAGTACACAATTTTTCTGATTTTGTAAAAAAAAATCAATGGCATATTCCACAATGGATCCACATGCTAGAAGTTCATACCGTAATCCTACAGTAGCGAAGAGCGATCGGTGATTCGCTCCATCCTACAAATCTAAGTTGAACCTCGCTCTGCAGAATGGCGCCTCAAGCTCGGCAAAATACATGAAAGCAACGGAGTTATTAACAATCAGACAGTGTTCACATTTTTTGGGACACCCTGTATATAAAGAATCGTTAACTCAATTCAAAAATCTGCAAATAGCAGGGAGCATGGCGGGTCCCGAAGCGAATGCTTTGCAAATAGCGTTTTTAGTCTACTGGTTCACTAGTATGTAGATAAGGATCTGCTTTGAATGGATATTTCGCGACGAAAATCTTGAAATTATCAACTGTTAACTTCCTCACCTGGCTCCAAATAAGTGTCCTATGACTGTGGTCTTGTTGGGGGTTGGCATTTGTATCTATTTCACGGTAGGTTGCAGAATATACTTAAGGAAATTCGTTTTTTCAAATATTCGAATATCGAATAATATTCAGAATTGAAGTTCTTCAGTGTTTGAATATTGAATCATATTCGAAAATCAAAGTTCTCGAATATTTGACTATCGAATATTACACGAAAATTAAAAACTTCGATTATTTGACTTTCGAATATTATTCGCTAATGGAAGTCTTCGAATCTGACATTCGAATATCGAATATCATTCATTATTCGAATTTCGAATATAATTCGGTTCTCGAATATTACTCGATTTTCGAATACCATTCGATTTTCGCATATTATTCGAATAATTTATGTCAGTGAGACTCTTATGAGAGATCAAAACATCTAAGAATAAATCTTTTTATCTTTTCATGTAAGTATCAAAAATAGACACCTTTTTATGTTACAAATTACGGTGAAAAAACGGTTTAGCGGTGACGTGAAGAGACTTAAAAACCTAAAAGCGTAATCCTGTGATGGTTGTGAAAAGATTTTTCGAACTTCAAAAAAGTTTATATATTCTCATACTGAAAAGGATTTTGAGACATCAAGAGCCGTTTGCCCTAAAATGGGAATCAAGAAGGCGGAAAGTCTTACATTAGACTTGTAAAGACACTATAGAATTTGCACTCATCCGTAATGCTTTTATTATAACTTATGCCAAGTGCACCGTTACAAGTGTTTTTCAACGCTTTTCAAAAACATGATTGCACATTTGAAAACCTTGATAACTCGTGTATAGTAAAATCAGTATACGTAAAAACTGTGCTACAAGATTTTAGATCTTTTTTTAAGGAAATTATTTTGGATGTCTTATTTCGCAGATGTTCTATATGCTGGAACTTCCCACCGTGTTAACACATTAAAGGCAGCGTCCAGGCAGATCTGGGCCTATGGGGATTTTACGTGGAAAGTACTTTTGGGGCCCTAACTAAGGCACTGCTCAAGCGGCAGCGCAGGTAGTGCTCTAACAGCTGCGATATTCCCCTCGAAACTGGACCCCGCCATCGTATTCGCATGGATTCATGGCAGTTTCGCGCCAGGACACAATCTCTGCGCCATGAATCCATGCGAAATACGATCGCGGGGTCCAGTTTCGAGGGGAATATCTTAGTCGTTAGAGCACTATCTGAGCTGCCGACTGGGCAGTGGCTTAGTTAGGGCCCCAAAATTACTATCCACGTGAGATCCCCATGTGTCCAGACTTGCCTGAACGCTGCCTTTAACAACGTGCGTGATTCTCTTTCTGCTGTATTTGTAAGCTGAAGCCATCCCTACAGGATGTTACCCAAAAGTTGGCAAAGGACTCCGTGAGATATGTCAGCGATCCAACAGTGTGTAGATACTCTTGGGACTTCCCGCTTATGTTGTGGATATCGAATGTCGGAACATTCGATGCTTATCGAATATTCAAATATTTCTTGCGAATTTTGAATATTCGATGCCCGTCGAATATTCGAATATTCGATGGACATCGAATGTTCGGATAAATGATCATCGAATATGAACACCGAATAATCTTCGAAAGTTGAGATTTTTCGAATATGGGTTTTCGAATAATGATCAAAACGAAGATTTTCGAATATTCGACTATCGAGTATTATTTGAAATCTCAGATTTTCGAATATATGAATTTTCGAATCATTCGCATTCGAGTGATTTATTTCGAGTAATCAGAATAATCATGCGATTAGGTCCAAAGTATATTGCAGAACCTAAACTCAAAGATCCAATATGTCTTTATAAACACGTGGAAATATACATCACCACAATTCAATGTAAATAGATACATTCAAATACTAATCTGTCAATGAGTAATTCTCAGAATGCGACTGCCGGTGATAATAGTGTTTGAGGTCTTTTCGATCCGGCAAAACTTCGTTGCATCCAACTTGGCGCTACGCTACTACGTTTGAGTATAAGTACCTGCAGCGTTATGTAGGAGTTGTGCCTCAATTAGAAAACCTATGTCTAGATCTGACTAATACAGTGTAACTACTTTACTTGGTCAAATCTAATATTCAAATGTGCTCATTTTGAATTTCGGCCTTCCATCAATTTTTGGAATTTGTGAAAGATTTTTTACGATCAACCTCAGAAAATTTTTTGTCTACGTTAGTGAATCTGTAGCCTAGAAGGTTTTCAGATATAGAAGCAAGACTACTTATAAGTTGCTATTTCATTTTGGTAGATCTAGGTGGCGAAGAGTATGTTGTTGTCCGTTGTGGGACGTCCGTCGGCATTGAACTAGCCGAGCGTCATCGCAACAGGGGTGTGGATCTCGTTTTTCGGAAGAAGGTGTTGACCGAACCACCAAGATGGGGCATCGTTGATACGGCAGAAGGGTGTGTAAAAATGCTTTTCGGATAATTTCGATACACTACATCTCAATTCTTACTTAATGGAAGCTTGATTTTGGTGTTCGTTTTACCTCAATCGATAAGAAATTGTCGAATGAGTGCTGCTCAAGTTTCTACTCGACTCGTTGGACTTAGACACTAGTTTTCACCTTGTTACTGTAAGTCTCGGCAATTTTGCCTTCTTAGGTTATTAGATTGTGTATTGTTGATGAAACTTCTCAAACTGCCCACCTCGAAACTAATGCCTTGATGAAATTATTTGCTAATCCCTGATTGACGATCATCGCTCTCGCATCTGCTGTTGTCATTTGTTCACTTCGATCGTTTCGTTTTCATAGTCATTCAGCTTAGGATGGCATAATCCAGTCATCACTTAGTGAATTCTAGGTTGTGTTTCACAGAGCTTTTTGTTTGTTGTCCTATTCTAGTCAGAGCTAGTACTTCGATTGATCGGACTGAAGTTTATCCGATCAAAGAAGCACATGCCTCGGTTCTGTAACACTTTGGATGTTTTTGTTGAAGCAGTTCTCCCCTAACATGTTTTTGTTTAGGAGAGGCTCCCAAGTCAATCTAGGAACCGAGGCATGCTCATCAGGAATTAAGAAGATTAAGTTTTATTTTGTACGTTCTAGAATAAAGATAGTTGCTTAAATTTTGCTTTCGTTTGTATCATTCATGACCGTATAAAAGTTTGATATAATGTCTACTGTTTTATTTCTTCCAATCACTATGAAGCATGTGATTTGGAGTCATTGTTCACGCACCTGGCACAAAGCAGCTCCTAAGTTTATGTATTGGCTGTAATGCTATAACGCTATTGTTTCTTTTTCTGTGGCAGAAAGACCTTGTGACCGGTTTTTTCATTTGTAGTGTTCAGGTAATTCACTAGGGAAACAAGTAGTGAAAGAATTAACAAGGAAGTAGTCAGAACATGGTCGGGCAAGAGCTATATATCAACAGAATCGTTTTGAAAGGCTGATTTTAAATCTATTTTGTTATGTGCCAAGCGAACTCGTGAGCTTGAATGAGTTATTCCAGTTCCATCAAATAAAAATAGTCCCGGGCATTTTTTGCTTCTAAAACACTCAACTCGAAGTCCAAAGTGGTTTGGAAGATAGTGAACACTTCCGGAATCAACGCGTGAAGTCCTCAGTGGTAACGATTTTATCTGGATAGGCTTCTTCGATTGAAAACACTTCCTCTGTCAGCAAAGAACGTGGCTGTTGCTGATCAAGTCCGCGAAATTTGTAAGCTGAAGTGTTGTTTTACAATTAATGGGGAGATACACCGTCCGTGCATCATTCTTGGCTATAGACAGGAATGTCTTAGAACTGGAGACCAGTTTGCGTCGATGTCGATGTGGTAAGGAAAACACACAAGTAGCACCTAACAAATGGAACAGATGGATGCTTGCTCAAAGTGGCCTTATATATACTACATCGAAATGCATGGATGCAAATCTATTTTTGGTATCTGAAAGCATTTTAGGAGAGGCATTTTAGGAATATCGGGGCGGAATTTAGAACGAGCGGATGATATAAGTTCCAGCTGTGCCCTGTGAGTTCCAACACCAGTGATGACCCTCACGACACTCTGAAAAACGAATACTTCCACTTAAATACTCTCAGAGTTAACATTTCTCCATTCTACTTTTAAGACCTCTACAATAGATTTGACTTCGTGTGTTCAAATTTTTGCCTCAAAAATTCCCATAATCCTCTTCCAAAAGATGTTTTGGAATCTTTGATATCGAAAACAGATTTGCAGCAATTTATGCCCTCCCAGATAGTATACATGTGGCAAGGGCACATTGACGAAATTTTTCATAGTTGCCAGAAGCCAAAGTTCGGTCGTTTGGAATGCGTCAGACATATGCATCGCTCACAGTATGGTGATATTAGGCACATACCTGTCAGAAGACAAGAAGATTGTAAAGAGAAAAATACAATGCTTTAAATCTGATTTGATCACTTTCAAAATTCGTAGAGAAGGGACTCATCCATGAAACTTAGTCGATGTTCAAAGTATAAAATCTTAGGTCAATCAAGAAAGATGGTTGTGGGTGAGATTATGTATTCATACCAGTGGCGTACCCAGAAATTTTTTTCGGAGGGGGGGGGGTAGGGCGACGGAATTTTTTCCCTTGAGGGGCGTGGCCAATACCACACTCCGCGAAACCACCAGAAACTAACTCATAGAAAAAATATCTAAACACGATTTTCATTCGATCATCAAGAATACGGCAAAATAAACATATTTCTTATAAATCACGTGCAATAAATTTGAAAAATGTAACAAAACTTATGACTGAGTATGTATCAAAACACATGCTTGAGGAAGGCATTGCTACGGTAAAGAAAGCCTCTTGCAAGAGATCTCATTTGTGAGACAACTGTGCAAAAACTTGAGATAATGAGCACTTTAATAAGTTCAAAAATCAAAGTTTCGAATAAAAGAAGGATACAAAAATTTGCAGTGAGGTAGATAGAACACATGCGTCTCACGAGGGAATGGTCAGAAGTCGAAGTGGCCAATCCAAACAAGCTGCACACCATTCAATGCAGCATAGAACGCTGATTTGAAATCTGTCTTCCATATCTGCGCCTTTGTAGGCAAAATATGAGCAGCTTTACTGCGAAAAAATCGTACACACAAATTGCGAAATTAGGCACATTATTTCTCTTTCAGCTCACCTCAGAGTACGGTCATATGAAGTGATCTAATTGCATGTTTTGTCCAACACTGAGCAAAGAATGGCTTTGTACGCCCAAGTTTGCACTTTACACGCGCAAATTCTTAGCAAAATAATGGCCTTCAACGGCTTATAATTTCGTCCACAAAGGCGCTCTGCAGATAAGGAAGACAGATTTAGAGTCAGCGTTTCATGCTGCATCTAATGGCATACCGTTAGATGTTATGCAAACGCATGAAACCCAGCTTGTATGGATTGGCCACTTCGACTTCTGACCATTCCCCTGTCAGATGTAGGTCGGGTTTGCATGGTCTGGTGCTAAAAGATGTGATTTTGTAAAGTTTGTTCAATTTTTCAAAACCTTACCTATGTGAAAGAAATTCTTCGATTTCTTCTGGTAAACTCTTCGGTAATTTCTTCGACATTGATTATGATTTTGCGATTTATGTATAGCAGCGTCAATCCAGTTAATCACTCTTCTGTCGTGGTACTTTTCAAATAATTTTTCAGACATTTCAGAGATGAGAACTCCTCTCCGGCGTTGCTGAAAGTATTCGCTATCTGATTTTCGTTTATTTGACTCAAGCTAAAGCACTGTTGAGACCGGTAGTGTGGCCAAAACTGGAGCAGCGCACGGATAATTGGGAAGAAGGACGCGTCATAGCCATCCAGTGTTCGTAAAAGGTCGTCTTCCAGAGGTGGTGCTTGCATCCACTCGCATTTCCATGCCTCATACTCAGTTTCAAATAAAGTGAGGTCTTGGTGGGGCAGGATGGCTTCGTAAAAAACAAATGTTTCTTTAAAGTCTTCGAATGTTGTCTCTTTGACAAGGCTTGGTAGAAACAGTCGAATTTTCGACGCGAGGGCGTAGTGAGGAGAAAATCTTTGGCTTCGATCAAGCCAGTTAAAAAAGGATCGTAAATTTTGGTTTTGAGTTCTTCTGCACCAACCTGAAAGAGAGTTTTAGTTTTCCTATTAAATTCAAAAGCCTAAGCTTATCATTTCATCTCTTTCTCTCAAAAAATTGCCCAGATTCATCTCTCTCATGTCCTGACACAACCGCTGGTATTCCGCTTGGACTCGACTGAAACGTCCTATTCCTTCACCCTTGTCCAACCACATCTGCAATTGCTGTAGTAGCGCCTTCTGCTGTTCGAGTGCCTAAATTGCCAGCTTAGAAAAGCCAAGGTGAAAAAGCTAATCAACAACCTTAGGGAAGGTGTTACCCGGAGACTGCAGCTGTTCGGAGAGTGTCTTTAGACTTCAGATTGCGACAGACATGAGGCATAGTGCGAACATGAACCGTTCTTCAGCCAAGCATACCGCATAACTGTATGCCTCGAGTTCAGCTTCTGACAGGTTCGACAATGCTGCCACAACTGGGATGAAAAGTGATTTGAAACTCAGGCATGCCTCAGCTCGCTCCACCCGTCGTGTTTCACACAAACTTCTAAGTGTTCTTCTTTGACTTTCCGGAGCGCTCCTCTCGATCGCTCCTTCAGTGGCTGCGTTCTTTTCGGAAAAGTTCGAAAAAAAGAGCTGACTTTAATCATAACACCGAAAGTATGCCTTATTGGAGCGACCGCAGAAGACTTCATTAGGGTCAGGTTGAGGGCATGGCACAACAGCGTACATACAATGCACAAGGATAGTGCTGACGAATCTGGCTCTGAACACCTCCTCGAATACCAGACATTGAAGTGGCTCCGTCGTAACCTTGCCCGACAAGGTTTCTAAGTTCGAGTCCGCACTCCGCAAGGTGTTCATGATGAGCTCGGCCAAAGCAATTCCAGTAAGTCCGCTGCTTCAATAAAAGTTAGAGACTTTTCCTCAACGCAGGCCTTTCGATTTTCATCTTCAGGAACAAATTTGACTGATACTGATAGCTGCTCCATCCTCGCTACACTGCTTGTCTCGTCTGCCAGTACCGAGAAATAGCGGGCCTTCTTCACCAAATCCACTATCGATTGCTGGATGAGCCTCCCAGTTATTCCAATAACTTCGTTCTGGATCTTACTGGAACTATACTGCGCTATACTATGCTGTCATTTAGAATTCAATGGTTTTTCGAGTTTTTGTAATATTCCTTCGATAATTCAATCTCGCAAAGATCATTTTGGGCAAAGTTATGGAGTCAGATGGTGCAGACCGTCCTTTCCACTCAAGTTAGGGGCACAATTGCAGTAGGATCTCAGAAAAATGAACAGACACTCGGTAAATATGGGCATGATTTTGCGCCAGAAATTAACAATCAGAATTCAATAAAAAGCATACAAAATTCCAAATGATCGGAGTGAAAAAGAAATAAAATTACATGAGAACAGGATCTAAGACAAGAAAGGAAAGAATGATCAAAATTTGGCTGGCACCCCACTAGATTCTGACTTCGAAAAAAATCCAAAAAAATAGGTTTGGAGTAGAGAAAAGAAAAGAAAAAAAGGATGATGTGTTGTGAGGAGAAAATCGCAAAAGTTTCGAAAATTCTTATAGAATGGATGAGTGCAAAGAGTTTTACGTGCAAAAAATCGAGAACTCAGAAAAGCATAGAGATCAGCAAAATTTTGGATAACAATTTAAAGAACTTGCAAGAATCGAATTTGAGTTGGAGAGAACTTCACAGCAATCAATGAAATCAACTTACCTCTTTAGGTGATGAGTCGCCAAACCAGTTGTGGGGAAATTCCTCAGAGATATTGTTGTAGGTAATATCACCAAATATTGATAATTCAGAAAAAACTGTAATTTACTGATTTTTGGGCA